GTGTGTGTTTGTGTGTGTGTGTGTGTGTGTGTGTGTGTGTGTGTGTGAGAGAGAGACTGAGTGTGTGTGTGTGAGTGAGTGAGTGAGTGAGTGAGTGAGTGAGTGAGTGAGTGAGTGAGAGAGTGAGTGTGTGTGAGAGAGAGAGTGAGTGAGTGTGTGTGAGAGAGAGAGTGAGTGTGTGAGAGAGAGAGTGAGTGTGTGAGAGAGAGAGAGAGTGAGTGTGAGAGAGAGAGAGAGTGAGTGTGTGAGAGAGAGAGTGTGTGTGTGAGAGAGTGAGAGAGAGAGTGTGTGAGAGAGAGAGAGAGAGAGTGTGTGAGAGAGAGCGTGAGAGAGAGAGTGTGTGTGAGTGAGAGCGTGAGAGTGTGTGTGTGTGTGTGAGTGTGAGTGTGTGTGAGTGTGAGTGCGTTCATAAATTTTATATAATTTTATGTAATGTGTATGGCTAGAAAAGGTACTTTTGTTGCCTTTATAAAATGGCAGCAGTAGCAGTGTAATAAGGGACACCAGTGTTCAATACATAATTAAATGTATTAATAATATCGATCATCACAATATGGTGGTTGCCAGGTAAATTGACACATTAGCATATAATAGGCTATATGACCATTTGATCAGAATGTAGATCTGAACCTGTTCTTTTCATACCATACTGTAGCGTTAGTCCTCAATCCTTTTTAATGTGTTAATGACCTTTGACCCTCGATGCAGGTGGTGAAACTGCGAGGTCAGGTGCTTTCGGTGATGTTCCGGTTCCGCTCTAAATCCCGCGAGTGGATCTGGATGAGAACCAGCTCGTTCACCTTCCAGAACCCTTTCTCTGAAGAGATCGAGTACATCATCTGCACCAACGCCAATGTGAAGTTAGTACTGAAATGCATCACAAGATCAGATACTGACTTCACAGCAAATGTGATGTCACTCGCTTCGATATTTTGTTATCTAATGTAAGTTAATGCTGCTTACATTGTGACTTAATTGTTTTGGGGCCGCTGTTTAATATGTTTAGCATCATGTTATTCAGTGTTCTCTAATCCAGTATGACTTTATGCAGTGTGTCATATGCTTTTATGATCAAAGGTTAATTCCTGTGGAGGTAATCAAATGTAATTCAGTTTGTTTGAAGGCGTGTGTGTATGTCACAAAAATGTCTGGGTCTTATTTCACCCCAAAATAGTAATAAAAAGAGGAAATTATATAGAAATGACAAATAATATATAAATAAAGAAATTGATAATTGTTTTATGTATTATGACATAGTAAAATGAGACATTTCATGACAATTTAGCATATCTTCCTCCTCCCCAATTCTAATAATGCAGAAAATATATTTATTTCAGTTATGAACACCACTTTTGCTCACCGAGGCCGCACTTATTTGATAAAAGATACAGTAAAAACTGTAATATTGTGAAATATTATTACCATTTAATATAGATGATTTCTATGTGAATATCTGTTAAGCTGTAATTTATATCTGTGATCAAAGCTGTATTTTCAGCATCATTACTCCAGTCTTCAGTGTCACATGATCTTCAGAAATCATTCTAATATGCTGATTTACTGCTCAAGAAACATTTCTGATTATTATCAATGTTGAACACAGTCGTGCTGCACAATATTTTTGTGGAAACTGTGATGCATTTTATTTTTCAGGGTTCACAGATGAATAGAAAGTTCAGAAGAACAGCATTTATTTGAAATAGAAATCTTTCTATTTTCTATCTCAATTTAATGTGTCCATGATGAATAAATTAATTAATTTCTTTCAAAAACAAAAAAAATTACTGATTCCAAACTTTGGTAGTGTATTTCCTCGAATAAATTTTTTTTTTAAATAAAAAGTAATTGCATTACAGTAATGTGAATCATCACTGAGAATTATAAACAAACATCTGGACACATTATGATGATGAGACTTTAAGAAAAATGTGCTGAATTGTCCTGAAAAGGCAAAATTGTCACAATGTGAAAAAATCCGAAAGCTCCCAAATATAGGAGTTTTTTACATTTTTTTATGTGAAACAATGTCATGTTTGTTTGATTTTTGGGGTCAGTTAGGAGCCAGACATGTTTGAGCCGTGTGTGTCTGAGAGTGAGCGTGAGCTCTCAGTTTAATCTGACCGCTTTCTCTCCACCAATCCCTCTGGTTTACATGACAGTAGAGGTGCGAATCAGGACTCCCTGTCCCCCCTCTCTTCCCCGGGGGTTTCACTGCCCCCTTCACTGGGGCAAAGCAGTCCTAACTGCCCCTCCACCCCCAGCCCAGGGCAGGTCACAGCCAGGTGAGAGCAGACCAATGGTGCACTGGGTCTTTCTTTCTCCTCTCGGGTGAGCCTCTTTCCGTCCCGTCTGCTGCTGTCGGTCGGTGGTGGGTTAACAGCATGCTCTCTTCCCGTAGATAGCTGTGCTGTCCGAGGCAAGCTGAGAATGCTGTAGGTTGTCGGTGGTGGGTTTGACGGTCGTGACGGTAGGACTGCTTTCACATCAGTGTGGTTTGCTCTTCTGCAGGCAGTTGCAGCAGCAGCAGGCCGAGTTAGACGGAGGGATGGGACGAGACGCAGCGTATGAAACCAATCAGGTCACTCTTCCTCAGATGAACACACACACTTCCCCTTTAAATTACCACATCACACTCTGTGCTGTTTCAGTGCACAGGGTTGATTAGCAGATTAAAAAAATGTGTCATAAGGGTCCATTTTTTTAAATTGAGATTTATGCATCATCTCAAAGCTGAATAAATAAGCTTTCCATTGATGTACGGTTTGTTAGGATCGGAAAATATTTGGCCGAGATACAACTATTTGAAAATCTGGAATCTGAGGGTGCAAAAAAATCTAAATATTGAGAAAATCATCTTTAAAGTTGTCCAAATGAAGTTCTTAGCAATGCATATTACTAATCAAAGATTAAGTTTTGATATATTTACGGTAGGAAATTTACAAAATATCTTCATGGAACATGATCTTTACTTAATATCCTAATGATTTTTGGCATAAAAGAAAAGTCTATAATTTTGACCCAAACAATGTATTTTTGGCTATTGCTACAAATATACCCCAGCGACTTAAAACTGCTTTTGTGCTCCAGGGTCACAAATAGATGTAAATGAAATAAATGTGAAAAGTACCAGCACTGAATGAACTCAAAACAATGAGTTAACCCTCCTGAGCTTTTCACACGCTGGTTAACACTTAAAGAGTAAGAGTGTAATTTTGTCGTTGCTTAATGATATGTTCTAACACTAGTTTCCCTAAAGTGTTAACAGTAGAAGTAAGCAGTCTTGGGGATTTTGGCTATTTGGATCTTATTTACCCCATTTAATAAGATGAATAATTGGCTGCCGTGAGTGATTTTAGATCCGAAACGGTAAAAGTGTAACTTGGTTTTATTTACATGTACATTTCACAGTTTCACCCTCATTTCAGAATGTCTCTCGACAGTAAAAATATACACTTTCTTAGTTTAAAAAGAAGAAAATATGAGAATGTATTATGTATTTGAGCCAGATTGCTGCCATCTGGTGTCAAAAAATAAAACATAACATGGCTTAACAAATAAAATCAGCCTAGGAGAGGTTAACTGATTACAAAACATTCATTTGTGCTGTGAAGTGTTTCTGTTGTCTCACTTTAGCTCATTTTTCCCCATAAAGTCTGCTTCACATGTTAGTTGGGGTTTCTTCACCAGAAATGAGATTTGCTAACCTGCTCATGTAGTGAAGTGACTGAGCGTTTGTGTCTGTGTTTGTCTCAGGTTCCAGTGCAGACTGCAGGTGTAGTCGGTGCTGATCACAGTAAGACTCCCAATAAACACACACACACACAGATATATGGCCAAAAATATTAGCACTATATTTTTTCCATAGTATTCGATTTTGATATTTATCACAATATTAATTTAACACAGTTAATGGGGAAGGAATGTTTATTAGACATGTAGAATGAATGTAAACATAACTTATTTGTTTACAAGTAAACTACACAGAGTAACCTAGCTTTTACATTTTTTTTTCAATTCTGTTTGCTACAAATAATTTCATACAAATCTACCATAATGTTGTCTACTGAAATAAATCGTATTTACAAATTTACATTTAAAAAAAAAATTGTAATCAAATGAAGATGTAATTAATTAACATTAATTAATTGCATTTTAATTTTTTTTAAAGCATGGGTGAAAAATATCTTTATTGTATGATATTCCTTAAAAATTAGGGATGCACCGAAATGAAAATTCTTGGCTGAAGCCGAAACCCAACAAAATGAAACACTGGGCTGAAGGCCAAATACCGAGCAAGGTTTTACGAGTTTTAAATGAAAATTCTTGGCCGAAGCCGAAACCGAACACGGTTTTTCAAGTTTTTTTCCCCATGTATTTTGCCAATTTTTTTTTCACCATTGCATAAATTAAAAAGCCAAAATGTGCTTTTTACTGTTTTTTTTCTTGCTTTTCAAAGAAAAAAATCAATTACAAAACAATTAAAAAATATTTAAAACTGAACATTTTTAACATTCTAGCAGACACTATAAAAATATCTTCATGGAACATGATCTTTACTTAATATCCTAATGATTTTTGGCATAAAAGAAAAGTCTATAATTTTGACCCAAACAATGTATTTTTGGCTATTGCTACAAATATACCCCAGCGACTTAAAACTGCTTTTGTGCTCCAGGGTCACAAATAGATGTAAATGAAATAAATGTGAAAAGTACCAGCACTGAATGAACTCAAAACAATGAGTTAACCCTCCTGAGCTTTTCACACGCTGGTTAACACTTAAAGAGTAAGAGTGTAATTTTGTCGTTGCTTAATGATATGTTCTAACACTAGTTTCCCTAAAGTGTTAACAGTAGAAGTAAGCAGTCTTGGGGATTTTGGCTATTTGGATCTTATTTACCCCATTTAATAAGATGAATAATTGGCTGCCGTGAGTGATTTTAGATCCGAAACGGTAAAAGTGTAACTTGGTTTTATTTACATGTACATTTCACAGTTTCACCCTCATTTCAGAATGTCTCTCGACAGTAAAAATATACACTTTCTTAGTTTAAAAAGAAGAAAATATGAGAATGTATTATGTATTTGAGCCAGATTGCTGCCATCTGGTGTCAAAAAATAAAACATAACATGGCTTAACAAATAAAATCAGCCTAGGAGAGGTTAACTGATTACAAAACATTCATTTGTGCTGTGAAGTGTTTCTGTTGTCTCACTTTAGCTCATTTTTCCCCATAAAGTCTGCTTCACATGTTAGTTGGGGTTTCTTCACCAGAAATGAGATTTGCTAACCTGCTCATGTAGTGAAGTGACTGAGCGTTTGTGTCTGTGTTTGTCTCAGGTTCCAGTGCAGACTGCAGGTGTAGTCGGTGCTGATCACAGTAAGACTCCCAATAAACACACACACACACAGATATATGGCCAAAAATATTAGCACTATATTTTTTCCATAGTATTCGATTTTGATATTTATCACAATATTAATTTAACACAGTTAATGGGGAAGGAATGTTTATTAGACATGTAGAATGAATGTAAACATAACTTATTTGTTTACAAGTAAACTACACAGAGTAACCTAGCTTTTACATTTTTTTTTCAATTCTGTTTGCTACAAATAATTTCATACAAATCTACCATAATGTTGTCTACTGAAATAAATCGTATTTACAAATTTACATTTAAAAAAAAAATTGTAATCAAATGAAGATGTAATTAATTAACATTAATTAATTGCATTTTAATTTTTTTTAAAGCATGGGTGAAAAATATCTTTATTGTATGATATTCCTTAAAAATTAGGGATGCACCGAAATGAAAATTCTTGGCCGAAGCCAAAACCGAACAAAATTAAACACTGGGCCGAATACCGAACACAGTTTTTCGAGTTTTTTTCCCCATGTATTTTGCCTTTTTTTTTTTTCACCATTGCATAAATTAAAAAGCCAAAATGTGCTTTTTACTGTTTTTTTTCTTGCTTTTCAAAGAAAAAAATCAATTACAAAACAATTAAAAAATATTTAAAACTGAACATTTTTAACATTCTAGCAGACACTATACCAACAAAGCACAATTTAACTTAAAATTAGTAAAATAGTCATTTTTGGCCATCAGACCCCCTTCTTGAATCAGGCATTGTCACGTGCCTTGTAAAAATTCATAAAAATGTGACTGAGGAACTGACGACTGTATCAGCGCAGATTTTCCTCACGCTTTGGACTTTGAACCCTGGTTAACAAGCAGATCTGCTGCGAGGTCGTGCAGCGCTGTCAGAATACATGCAATGCGTGCGTGTATTAGAAAACATAACGTTCTGCAGTTTATTTACTAATTGTTTAAGGCCATTTCGTGATTTCAATCATCATACAGTAACCAGCAACAATCACACTTCCTCTTCTCATCAAAGACATGCGCTGCAGTCCTAAACAGTCTCTCGCTGTCGGTGCTTGTAATGATTTTTGTGTCTTTCTCCAGACAGTTTAAATGCTTCCACACTGCTGTCATGTGTGCTGCATAATAAAGAGTGCGCGCCTCTCACTCTGCGCTGGTTGCTATTTGATCGCGTCATGTCATTGTTCGGTACAATTTATTCAGTCTTTTCGCTTATTCGGCCGAATACCGAAAGAGCTTTTTTTGCTGTTTTAGGCCGAATAATTTCGGTTGCCGAACATTCGGTGCATCCCTATTAAAAATAATAATAATAATAGTCAATGCATGATATAATGTATACAATAATGTTTTATTACATTTTGTAATTGTTATTAATTTTATCATAATTTAGAAGTACATTTTGCTATGCAATAGCACTATATTTCTGTCATAATTTCTTAAGTTTAAAGTTAAACAGACCTTTTATTTTTTGAGTTCAGTGTGTATTTGACACTAGCTTTTCTCATACGTGACCCTGGAGCACAAAAGCAGTCTTAAGTCGCTGGGGTATATTTGTAGCAATAGCCAACAATACATTGTATGGGTCAAAATTATACATTTTTCTTTTATGCCAAAAATCATTAGGATATTAAGTAAAGATCATGTTCCAAAGAAGATATTCTGTAAATTTCCTACCGTAAATATATTAAAACTTAATTTTTGATTAGTAATATGCATTGCTAAGAACTTCATTTGGATAACTTTAAAGATGATTTTCTCAATATTTAGATTTTTTTGCACCCTCAGATTCCAGATTTTCATATAGTTGTCACAAACCATACATCAATGGAAAGCTTATTTATTCAGCTTTCAGATGATGTATAAATCTCAAAATTTCAAAAAAATGTAACCTTATGACTGGTTTTGTGCTCCAGGGTCACATATGAAACGGTGAAATGCGTGTGCATGCTTGAGTATGTATGTGTAGTAGATGAAACTGTGCTGCTCATTCATGCAGAACATCCAGACAAGCACCTGATCATTGGCTAAATGTCAAAGATGACTCAGAAGTGTATTACTGATGTCATGGATGTGTTATCGTCCAGGCCTAATTCATAGTCACAGTGATTGACAGGTGTCTGTCTCTCTCAGACTCTAAGGCCGTGTCCTCCAGTGCCTCCGGTGGACAGCAGCTTTACCCACCAGCAGCGTCTTTCCCCAGCTCTGCTCGTCCCAGCGAGCCCTTCAGGTGCCACACACACCCCTCATCTCTATCCTGTTGTCTGTCATATAATGTCTGCTGTTGGCATGATCTCACTCTCTGCTGTGGTCTGGTCTCAGGTCAGCTGGGATGGCTCAGCAGATGGTTCCTCATTCAGCAGGTCAGATGCTGGCACAGATGTCCCATCAGAGCGCACCGTCTGGAGTCTCCTCCAGCAACAACAGCCTCATTCAGGCCCAGACGGGACCCGCAGCGCCTCCTGGAGTCTGGTCTGCCACACGACAGCCCTTCAACACACAGGTAGACATTTAAAGTGTGTTTACACCTTGATATATTCATATACAAATGTGACCCTGGAGCACAAAAGCAGTGTTAAGTCGCTGGGGTATATTTGTAGCAATAGCCAACAATACGTTGTATGGGTCAAAATTATAGATTTTTCTTTCATGCCAAAAATCTTTAGGATATTAAGTAAAGATCATGTTCCATGAAGATATTTTGTAAATTTCCTACCGTAAATATATCAAAACCTCAGTTTTGATTAGTAATATGCACTGCTAAGAACTTCATTTGGACAACTTTTGTTGATTTTTATTTTTTTTGCACCCTCAGATTCCAGATTTTCAAATAGTTGTACCTCGGCCAAATATTGTCCTATCCTAACAAACCATACATCAATGGACACAGAACGCAAAAGATTTTATTATTATTATTATTATTATTATTATTTATGATTATTATTACACTACTGTTTGGGGTCAGTAAAATTGTTTGATGTTTTTGAAAGAAATCTCTTCTGCTTATCAAAGCTGCATGTATTTGGTCAAAAATACAGTAAAAACAGTAACATTATGAAATATTATTACAATTTAAAATAACTGTTTTCTATGTGAATATATTATAAAATATAATTTATTTGTGTGACATATACAACATGTCTAGATGGTATCACAGTTTCCACAAAAATATTCATCAGCACAACAGTTTCCAGCACTGATAATAAATCAGCATATTAGAATGATTTCTGAAGATCATGTGACACTGAAGACTGCAGTAATGATGTTGAAAATACATCTGCGCATCACAGAAATAAATTACATCTTGATATATATTCACATAGAAAACTTTTTAAATTGTAATAATATTTCACAATATTAATTCACAATATTTCATTTTTTATTATATATTTTATCAAATAAATGCACCCTTGGTGAGCATAAAAATGTATTTCAAAATGTCTTTCTTTTCTTGTTGTTGCAAATACTCTCTTTGTCCAGCAGATAGCAGGTCAGGCTGTGAAGAGTCAGTCAGCTCAGTTTAACATGGGAGGTTTCAGCTCCGCCCCTTCATCCTCCACTTCCTCTTCCTTTGGCCAGATGGGCGGGGCTTCTGCTTCAATGGCAAACACATCAAATTACCAACAAATAAACAGCCACAACAACCCTTCAACTAATGGATTCGGTAAATATTTAGCACAATGTTTATATTAACTAGATTGGCTTGAGAAAGCCTAGCCTGAAAGTTAGCATGATTGGCATGTTTTTAGCATGATTAGCCTGTTACTAGCATATTGCTGGCATGATTAGCAAGTTACTAGCATGTCGCTTGCATGATTAGCCAGTTACTAGCATTTCGCTAGCATGATTAGCAAGTTACTAGCATGTCGCTAGCATGATTAGCAAGTGACTAGCATGTTGTTAGTATGATTAACAAGTGACTAGCTTGTTTCTAGCATGATTAGCATGTTGCTAACATGATTAGCAAGTTACTAGCATGTCGCTAGCATGTTACTAGCATGTCTAGCATGATTAGCAAGTGACTAGCATGTTGTTAACATGATTAGTAAGTGACTAGCCTGTTTCTAGCATGATTCACATGTTACTAGCATTTTGCTAGCATGATTAGCAAGTGACTAGCATGTCGTTCGCATGATTAGACAAATGATTATCATGTCGCTAACATGATTAGCAAGTGACTAGCATGTCGCTCGCATGATTAGACAAATGATTATCATGTCGCTAGCATGATTAGCAAGTGACTAGCATGTTTCTAACATGATTAGCATGTTGTTATGATTAGCATGCTACTAGCATGTTGCTAGCATGATTAGCCAGTTACTAGCATGTCGCTAGCATGATTAGCATGTTGTTAGTATGTTTCTAGCATGATTAGCATGTCGCTAGGATGGATAGATAAGTAGATAAAAACTATAAGTCAGATCAGTCTGAAGAGCTGGGCTGGGTTTGGTGGTTCTAACTTGAAAGCTCTAGAAGGAGTAGCGTTCAGAAATTGAGTCTAAGAGGAATAATAATAAAAAGCTTAAGTAGCAGATTTCTCAAGCCAACCTAATAATGGTATTTCCTGTTCCAGCGCTCAGTTTTGCTCTTGCTCTTTCGTTCAGGCCACATTAATCAGATGGGAGCGCAGTTCAGCTCCAGGCCAGCAGAGGGAGTGTCAGGCTGGCAGCAGTGGCAAACTCAGCCACACACTCAAGGCACTGCAGACGCACACCAGCAGCCTCAAAACAGCCAGCCAGAGATGTTTCAGGTGAGTGGAGCCGACACAACCAATCACGTCTGTCTTTTAAAGGAATAGCTCACCCAAAAATGAACATTTCTTGAAAATATGCCTATAATTCCTATAACCTGCCTCTCTTTTTCTCCTCTTCAGGATGTTATCTCCATGTTGGATCAAACCGGCAGCTTCAGCAACGATGATTTCGCCGAGATGCCCATGTTTCCTCCTTTCCCCGAGTGATCCCGCTTCACTCCCTGTTGCTCTCTCACGCGCCGTTTCTTACTCTTTTAACCAAATCAATGGCAGAGCGGAGGCACGGAGGGATCTAAAACGAGAGAGAGACTGATGCATTGTGAGAATGGAAGTTATAAGCCATAACGTGAGGATACAGTGTAGCGCACAGACAGACAGGCCTTGTTGAAATGTGTTCACTTTAAAAGCACGCACAATTGCACACTTCGAGCACAAGCGGTCTCACACTGTCTGCCGTACACGCACATGCTTAGATCTATGAGATGGAGATGAGGAGGGTTTGTTTGCCCTATACACACACACACACACACTCTCACACACACACACACATACTCACTCACACACGCTCACTCACACTCACACACACACATACTCACACACACTCTCACACACACACACACACATACTCACACACAGGCAGTCTGGTCTGTCTGTCTCTGACTGTGATTGTGTACTTCTCTTCTCTAATGCCACGTGACATTTTGATCCCAACGATAAAATGTGTGAGAATTGAATTCAGCCTGTCTCCAGCATCTGTGATCTAGAGTCTGGCCTCAGAAAGTCGCTCTGAAAGTCACGCGTCGGGTCGGGTTTATTGTCTGTAACACAGAAGCTGTGGCATGTTTTCTCTTTTTCTTCCTTTTAAGGCTTTCTGTTCACAATTGAAGAATCGGCTCCGTTTCCATTCACCACTTGGAATTTGAATTGAATTGGCTTAACAGGATGTTGGAATTTGAAAGACAGGAAGATGAATTCCAAATTTACCGAATTGGAATTTTGCATTTTAAATAAACATTGATTCTTGACGTCTTCTAGTGTTTCAAATTCATACTTCAAATGTTTTTAAAAATCCTTTTTTTTTTCATTTTAAATATTACTAACACTATTTACAGCGTCCTTGTTGCACATCACACATACTTATGCATAATAACATGCAGTTAACCCTAAACAAACCCTAACATTAACCCTATATAGTAAATACAGGTTGTTAATCATTATTCCTCAGTACTTAAGTGTAATTACACTGTAAAAAGGACTGCTTAAAACTATTCTGCATCCTGTTTGCTACCTCAATTCAAATTTAGACGTTGAATTATCTCATGTTGATGCAGTAAAACTCCTCAGATGTTTTCCTTTGATCGATTCTGCAGCTTTATCTGTAAAGTTTAGATGGACAGATGCATCTCTTTCTGTTTCCATGTGTTTAGCGTGTGCCGATGATGGTTTCACTCAGGCATGTTTTTGTGAAAGCAATGAAAAAGATTAAAATCAAGCAATAATGAGCAGGATCGGTGTCCTTCAAAGCCATTTTTGTCGCTATCCTAATTATTGTTATCATAATGTCTTGTTTTAATATAGAAAAGAAGAAACCTATAATGCTTCATCTGGGCTGTCCGTGGTTGCTGTTGGGCTTCAGCTCTCCGTGTGTTCATTTGGAAATCGTTATTCTGATTTAGTCTTGTACAGAGAATATTCCAGAGCTTCTATTGGCGGGTTTGATTGTTGTTCATTTGCTTTAGATTGAAAGCTTTTTAATTCAATGTTTGATGTTTGCTTTTGAATGTGGGCGTGTCTGCGTCTTTTTTCAGTACTTTTGTGCATTAAATCGAGTGCTCGTGCCACTTTTTTTCGGATATGAAAGGGTCAGTGCTCTGGTGTTTTTTTTCTTCTATATTTTCACAACGTTTTGAACTGCAGTTTATGTACAACGTATAGAAAAATAAATATGTATGTATATGAAATATTAAAGAGAACTGTTTTTTGTATTAAATTGCTATTGTCCAAAAAAAAAACAATCTTTGTTGGGACCTTTATTTGAACTGTGGACACTCTTTGACAAGTCTGTTAATACAGTATATCCAGTGCACAGTAGGGGCGGGGGGGGGTTTAGGACAATTCTAGGGGCCCACGCACTTTTGGGGCCCCCAGAGATTACAAATAAAACAAAATTACGGCTTATTTCCGGCAAAATTATCTCCCCCCATTCACTGCATGGTTTCGTCCCGTCCTACGTAGCCCAGAGAGTGAGATCAGATGGTAAACCGTCAAGTTAGAGATGTCTTCGAGTTCGGGGGGGGGGGGGGGAAAACCGGG